CTTTTTTTCTCAGATTAGTATGTGTCCATCATCAGTGATCATGAATCTCATCTATACAACTGATTTTCTGAATTTATTTATATATATATATATATATATATATATATATATATATATATATATATATATATATATATATATATATATATGTATATATATTTATATATATGTACATATTAGTTAAATCTGACAGATCTGGATTGATTTCAAATTTACCACAAAGATCTTTTGTGTTACTCTTGATTCATAGTTTTACAGTCTCGGTCATTATCATCGTTTCCATCGTTGTCAGGTAGATAGTTTTATGAGGATGGTAGGTTAGTAGGTGGAATTATAACTGGATGCAATAATTGGTTGTTTGGAATATACGTATATAAGCTATGTCATGCATGAAGATACATTGCTAAATTGGTGCATATTTTTAATCCCCATGCGAAGGGATTTTTTTGTATGATTCCAGAAGCAGAATTACAAATATATTGTACTTAAACTTGTACAGGGTCAATGACTTATGCTGATACGAAAAAGAGAGTGATAATGAGGCTAAGGTGAAAGATAGAGGGATAAAGCAAGACATACAGTAACAGTGATAGACATGGCGAGTGAGCTTTAACAAAAAAGAGGGGCATTCATAAAGCTTGCTGGAAATGTTTAAATGTTTAAAGTATATTTAAATGATGATTTATTTCACACCATCCATGTCAAGAGACTTTTTCAGATGATGATTTAGTCTATTTTTGCAAAAATCTGGTTCTTGAATGTATCTCTATATTTAGGATCAGAAAAAAAGGAGCTCCATCTGGACTGTACAGTGAATTATTCTTAATTTTCCTCTGAAGTTCATGAGCTCTCGCTCTTAGTTATCTCTGATGTTACACCACATAATTTTCTTAAATCATTGATGCCAGTTACATATATTGTTTACTATGTTTTTTTTATTGATTTTGTGTAAAGGTAGAGGGATTCACATGCGCTTACTAAGGATTCAGTTACAAGGCCTACCTTATCGTGCCGGTTTACTTCATTCCTTGATTTTTTGGTGAAAATAAGTATTTGTTTCTGTTACTATTATTATTGTTGTTGTTAATGTTATTATCATCATCATCATCATCATTATTATTATCATTATTATTAGTACAATGGTAGATGTCAGGTCTGGTTAGGTAGGCATAGTAATTGACACCTTGGTGACTAAGTGCTTCTGGAGCTGTCAGTGTAATTAAAATTGATAAGAGAAAACCACTGTTGATAGTGCATTATATGTGCACTTCAGGCATCAGTGATTATGCAATGCTCATGGGTTACTTTTTGCCCTTTCAGAAAGTCTACAAATGGTATGCCTTTTGATCTTCCCAAAACTGTTATAATAACCATTGCACTAGAATTTTTCTGATTTGCATTTTATTGGTTCATTTATTTCTTGTGGATATCACTGTTTTAATTGCAGCTTGCCCTTAGGGTCAAATTGATAGGTCTGTGTTTCATATCTGGTCTCTAATCTCAAAGACATTATTCTGAAAATTTGTCCCACTGGTTGAGAAGCTGCATTGAAAAGTTCGCTCTTCTCACCAACCGACCAGATTGTAGTAGATCGAGTACCAATATGCTCTAGCCTACACGGACTCCACAGAAGTATTCGGTGTGTGTGCTATTCTCTCAGTTGTATTTTGACAGGTCATCCTCAACCAGTATTGGAACTTACTCAGTACTTTCATCCCTGAGTTGAAGATGATAATGGCCTCTCCTTGTGATAGTTATCCTCAGCTGCTTCCTGTGCAGATGTGAAATGAGCAGTCCATTTGTTAGCAGTATTCTTCTCCTTTCAAGTTGTCTCTGTAAACTTTTCTCATAGCAGTGATATCTCTTTTCTTCCACAAAAAAAAAAATTACTGGCCCTTACTTTGTATGGGTCTTAAATTCTTGCTGTTATATAAGTATGGGCTACTAAACTACAATAAACTTTTCTAAAGTACCTGGAAAGAAGTCAAGTTTTAACATGAGAGTTCATGATCATACTACATATGTTTTAGTTGATGTTATTTTACTGTAGCTGTGAAAGAATTTATCTTATAGTGATTTTCTGCAAGATTTTTGAATGCCCCCTATGTATATACATATAGACATGTATCTATTGTATGAGTCTCCTTTACAAATGTCATGGTAGGCAAAGGAAACATGTATCAGAAATATTCTGTGATTTATAATCAATTTCTGATCCCAAATTTTGATATATATTATATATATATATATATATATATATATATATATATATATATATATATATATATATATATATATATATATATATATATATATATATATATATATATATACATATATATATATATATACATATATATACATATACATATACACACTGCATTTGAAGTTACAGATTAAAATGCAGAGAATAGAAAATTAAAGCAGAAATAGAGATCAGAATATTTAATTTGTAAACTACAGACAGAAAAAGTGTCAGAAAATATCTTGTAAATTTTAGTTGATATTTAGCTCTCATAAAGAATTTTGCTGGAAGTGTTTCTCTAGTTTTCTTTTAGATTTTATTTACGTATAGATGGCTCGACATGTACTTAATCACCAAGGATTCATTAACTAGAGTACCTGTTCTTACCCCATTCCTGGAATTGGTCATGAACTTTTATTTCTGTTGCTATCATCATTGTCATTAAACATATAATTATTGTTATTGTTAATACCACAAAACACTTTTCTTCCTGAAAATTCAAGGAATGCGGTAAATAGGCAACGTCAGGTAAGCCAAGTAATTGATTCCATGGTGACTAAACACTTGCAGATCTGTCTATGTATAATCTATATAAACAAAACAAACCAGTGGACAGGGCAAATAGACATATATGCCTGGCATCATTGGGTTAACACTTAAAAAAGCATTTTTTGGACTTCGTAATTGAAAAACATTTCTTTAGCCTGCTATTATTAGCATTTCACAATTGAGTTAAACACCTGTCGGTCTCTGGTGCTTAGTCATGTACCTGGTAAGTAATAGATGTCCCTTTGAGGTGACCTAATTTCAGATGTTATTGATATTGCTTTAAAAAGACCCATTATAGAGGATTGATATGTAATACTCAATGATTTTATTATCTATTTTACTTTTGTGATTAACGGACACAGCAGTCTATTAGGTTTATAGTGCTGTACATTCAATACTAATGCTTGTGCTACTACATTAACAAATTTGTGAGAAGAGAATGAGAATAATGGAGTATGTTGGTACATATGCATCCATGTGTATATCATGAATAAATACAGGCATGCATACATATATACATACATACATATATACATATACATATACATACATACATATACATACCTATACACATGCACATGCACATGCACATGCACATGCACACACACACACACACACACACACACACACACACACACACACAACACACACACACACACACACACACACACACACACACACACACACACACACACACACACACACACATACATGTATACATATATATACATATATATACATATATACATATATACATACATACAAAAACATATGTTGACCCAATGTTGACAGAAAAATAGTGTGTTCCCTTTGGTTAAATGTTTCTACACATAGATGGCTCTGCCAATGCTTAGCCACAAAGTAGTCAATTAGTAGATCTTGCGACCTAACTTTTCCTTGAAAAAGCGGGAAAAACGCATTTTTTAGTATTGCTATCAATATTGACATAGTTATTCTTGTTATAAACATTATAATTACTATATTGTTATTGACATAACTAACAGCAATAGTAAATACTAGAAAATATTAGCAAAAATCAAGGAAAAGGAAAAACAGGTTAGACAGGTAGTTTGCATAATTGGCTCATTGGTGACAGTACTTGTGGAGCCATCTACATGTAAAAACAATTACTAAATTCAACACACACAATGGGCAATGGCATGTATGTACATGCCATGCCCAGCAGCGTGGGGTTAATAGAAACACTGAAGTGGGTACTTGTCTTTGTCTTGTTAGTTATCATTTATATCTTTATATGCACCAGAAAGAGTTGGATATTCGTAACAAGCCACACTGAGGAGAGAACCGACATTTAATATTGTTGCGGTAACTTTATGACACTGTTTAATATATTGTATTGTTGTAAAAGGATAATAGGGCCTGTTCTAGCATTACAATTCTTTTTGACTTTGCCTTACAACATCAAAGAACGTGTTTTGATGGTTTTCAGTGACGAGATTGTGAACTCTGCATTTGCATCCCTCCCTTGCCTATTTATTCATTTATTTATAGCGCGGGGAAGGGGCTTTTTAAAACTGCCATTTTTGATAGATGTCTTAAGTTCTGTGTGGTATACTGTGTACTCTTATTTAGTTGTGTAAGTTATTATTTCCCTTTCCCCTTTCACGTATTCGGGAAGTGTAATTCCTTTGATGCTCATCTCTCACTGCTATATCTCTTATTAAGAATTTTTGTCTATTCAGGACATTCACAGTAATGGAGGAATACAGAGTGTTTGCTTACGCATATTTAGGGGCCATATCAAGCCTGTGATAAAGAAACCGAATATTGATATGTATATAAGCTGTTATTATTTATGAAGTTGCTTTTGCATGGTAATATATATTTTTTTCAATGTGCCATGTGTGAATGGAAGTAAACATGACATGATTTGCTGTGTTCATTGTTTATCAGTAGCATGTTTCTTTTGCTTTCCTTTCTGCAAAACTGGTTGGCTTTATCTTGACTTACAACTGTGGCATCAGAAAGGTGCATCATAGCGGAACATTCATTCACTACAGATACTGTATTTCTAAAGATTTTTTTTTGAAAAGGATTGACTTTACTAGAGATTATGTTAATAATTAATTCACAGTGCTTTCTAAATGTGATTTTCCCATATTTGACTGTGTATATGTTGTGATCTTGCTATGAAAAAATAGGTTGAAATTGTGCAATTCCCAGATTATTTATAGAATACCCCAAG